GTATTAAACATACAGAACAAATTCCAGGCTAGCATAAAAAAATGAAAGTATATTATGAAGCAAATGTCAAGTTTGCCTGAAATAGAAACACAAAAAACTAACATATAATGTGGAAACACAAAATACTAACATATAGTGATAAACTTGGAGTGACTATAAACAGTAACACAGAAATAGCTAGAAGGTAAAAAACATTATTTCCAATCAATCAATTCTGATAATGAGAATATAGCACTACAGCCAAAGTATCTCTCTAGTTAGTGAAAAAGACAGCAAGTTAGGGCACATATGCAATGTGAATACAAAAAATGTGTTGTAATGTATATGTTATTAAATCAAAAGATGAAAGTTAAGGTTTCACTCATATACAGGCAGGCAAATCTGGATTTGCTCCTCACACCAACCTCACAGCACATCACAAACATGCATTGGGAAAATCTCCCCATGAATGACATACAAGTATGATAGCTGTTCCCGATGTGCGGCTGCAAGTGCTGTGAGGTTGGTATGAGAAGCGGTCTGTGAGAAACAAATCAGGAATTCCAGACAGGCATGTTTAAATGCAAAATACAGATGTATAGATTATTGTGAAGAGACCATAGACTTAAAGAATGAATGCAAGCATATACAACAACATGAAACAATATCAGTGCCAATCAAATAGATTGAAGGAAGTCCAAATCACCATCAACAGTTCAACAGATTCAAAAATCGTCAACAATCGGGAATGAACTTTGCTATATCACTGTAATGGACTCTAGGAACGAGCCATCCACACTGTGTGGAGCTTACTTCTGATTTACCAAAAACTATTAGCCTTAAATTATGAGTTTCAGAAGGTTGCATATTGATGGTTTGCTGTAGTTAAGGTGACTAGGCAACAGCTAGGCATTTTTGTGTGGCAAGGAAATTTGATGCCTAGGCATAGATTAGGCATCACCAAGAAAAGAAGGGCCATTATCCAATAAGCAACCTGGTGTCTTGGGAGGGGTAAACGGGAAACAGACCTTACCTCTCTCCATTTTTTTCACAAAACAAACCACTTTCAGACTTTACCATTGTACCAAATAATGGTTCTTTCCCAGGCAATAGAAATGATAAGTAAATATATGCATACTTTATAATGCATGAAAATAATTCCGGTAAATATATTGTAACCAAGGCCCCGTTTGCTTTTCGATAAGTTACTTACCCAGGCAAATGCAGTTACTTGGGTAAGTTTTTCCTGGGAAACACTTACCCGGGTGAGTGCATTTACCCATGTTCTTTTATTTGTCATGTAAATAAGGCAATGACCATTTTAGCCATAAAAATCCATATTAAAAAGGGCATTTTTGTCCCATTCAAGTGTTGGCAACTTTTCCCCCTAGGTGGGAAAGTTATTTACTCACCTAGGGGGTGGGTATCACTTACCCGAGTAAGTGATACCCAGGAAAATAAACTTTCCCTGGGTAAGTAAATGTAAACCAAAATCTCATTGACCAACTTTCCCCCCTCTCAAAATCCGAAAAAAGAATGCCCCCTAAATGTAAATGATAAGAAGTTGTTAAAGTACAACACTTTACCTACCAAAAAAAACTATAAAAGTACAATACATTCATATATAACTAAATGATATATTACAACATGTTTTCAAGAAAAAAAAAGAAGACTTCAATAATTCCCTAGTTCAAAGAAGTGCAACATGCAGACAAGCACAGGGATTAAGCACCCTCACTTTGAGCTCTAATACACTTGGCACAATTACTTGAGTACCCCCACCAAGACATTTATATGGTAGTTTATATACCACTTGTCTAGTCGATTAACCAAGGCAATAGGTTTACAAAAACACCTTGGTGGTTACAATGGGCAATGAGTTAACCACATTGATGGTTTAATAAAAGACATCCCGGTGCACAAGGCTCCCGCCAATGCACAATGCAGGGTCTGTAGAGGGACAGATGTATGCAGTCTTACCCTATACACAGAGAGGCTGTTTCAAACAATAATGGTCTAAAGATACCGCAAAAAGATATCATATTACCCATTATTGCCAGAACTTTAGTGAGGAGAGCTATATACAGCACAGAAGCATTGGAGAAGGTGCATTAAGGCCTCTGTTCTGCAGAATGCAAAACTTAACTGGAATTAATACCTCCAAAACTGAGACACTTAAATATTCATCAGCAATTATCTTAAATGGGTTTTCACTTGCAGACAACCTTATTGATGGACTTAATATCAGCTCTATATTGAGGGAGATAAATGAAAGAGGAAAAATTTTGTTGAAGTGGAAGTCTTAAAACTCCTGCTGTAATCCTACTCCAACCAAGTAGGGCAAACCTCAGATTTTATCAGTCAAAATCAATATTTAATGGGGTGAATTATCAATCATCACATCATTAATTCCACCCTTTAGCCTCATCAAGCACTATTTCAAGTTTATGGTTCAAAAACCACACCTAAATACAAGGCACATTTTCATTATTCAATTTTCTTCTTCAGACTGTCTATTTCCTTATCACTGAAACAATAATCTTATTATCTCAAATTGGTCCCATATCCATCTTGATTCCTTTATAATTTGATGCTTCCTGCTCTCCTAATTCACCTTAATTACTCTCCTACACATATGTTAATTCTTCAATCTTCCAATTTTCTGCTCCAGAACGATGAGTTATATAATTACTACTTTTAATATTACACTTCAATATTCAACTTGACTTCATTTAGTGCAGTGAATCCCCCTATAAAATTGGAAATGATTCAATATTGCAAGACAATAAACTAGCAAACCACTCATAAAAATACCTTTATTTTCTGTACAATAATAAGTGCCTATATTTTCCTTTGTCAGCAAAAGTATGTATACATGTTGAAAAGACAAACTATCAAGTCAGCCTTGAATAAGATGAAAGTGCTTTCCCAAAAACTGAAGTGCCAACTACTGAGGGTTGTAGGGAGACAAGAGAAGTAACATGTAGTGCAACTAGTCACAACAGACTTATAGCCAATGCAGTTGAATTGTTATTTTTTAGTGTTTCTCTTTTATTCATAGTCACTGTTCCAAGGAAAAGGTGTAGGCATACTATAGTGCTAAATATATTATTGTGATTAAGCAAGAAATTTGAAATTATACTGTCAATATCCATTCATCCTACGCCTAATTACTAAAAAAGGTTTAAAACCACTGCAAACATGACTAGTCTTCTGAAATACTTAGCACAATAACTAGAACTGGAACTTGAATTTGGACAAAAAAATGGATTCATGAAAAGACAACTTATTTTACTCGTTGCAATTAAAGGTTTCCAAGTGTAGATTCTCTAAGGCACTTTACCATAGGTAGCACAATTCATATTTAAAAATAAGCATTTACAAACAACCAAACATAACCATAAACAAAAGGTGGGGAACAAACTGGTACACTAAACAAAGATCAATGAAATTAAGAATTTCATTGGTCAACTAATGAAGACTAACATCACCCAGTACACAGATTAGGAACATGTAGAGATTCCCAAAGCATGCAAACCTTGCTAAGTGACAATAGTTGTCCAGCTCACAAAAGAAATAGAGAGAAGGCAACCAAGACCATTGACCAAGCCCCCCCATGCAACTCTACATCAATCCTTCCAATCTTTAGGTATAGTTTTCCTTGTTGGGGGGGGGGGTGGATTTATAATAGGGTTGGGGCTGGCAGAATGTCACAACTTTTTTTGGTTTTTCCCATTTTTCTTGGGCCACAATGCTCGTACTTCATTGTATTCTAATATTTATTTTTAATCAATTTTCATTTTTTATGATAAAGCATGAACTGATTTCATCTATATAAACAAAGATGAACAATGAGAATCCAAAGGGGGGTAGATTTATCCCTAGAGTATAAAAATTGCAATTGTGCCCAGTACAACTGCTCCCTATTTACCCCTAGCTTAGCTAAAGAGTCAGTGAGCCCATTTGCATCCCTTGGAACCCAATGAATTGCAATACACTAAAAATTTGTAATATCATTTCGATATCATGTCTACACTCAAAATAATATAACATCAACCCTATGCAATTCTGCACTATATTTTTTTTACATTAGACCACTGATATCCTGTTCACACTTCACAGTTTAACATAATCATGGCATTTCAAAAATGACTTTGTTGAGAACCTTGAAGCAAGGATCACAAATTAATAGGAGCTTACAATACATTTATCATCGACTTGGCACGAGCACATTTTTGCTAAAAATACCTTCCACAAATTTAGAGAAGGAACTTGAAGCTCTAATGCCAAAACAAAGATTTAAAAGCAATTCACCATAGACAAAATCATAACAAAGACAAGCACAAAATCTGGCTTTATGAATCAAGAAACAGCTCAGAAGTGGGAAGGATTTATCATGTACAAATAGAAACATCATATACTGACAGTGAACCTCAGGATCTTGCAAAAGAACATTTTACAAGGAATGTAGCATGAATACAAAATTTTCATAGGGATAAGAATACGTGTATCATGACAGTAAACCCTAACTGCAAGAATTACTCAAGGAAGGCATAGTATATAGCCTACATGACAGCACTGAACCATCAATCAAGGAGTCAAGATGGCACTCTTTGTAACAGACTTTGCAGAAAATCAACAACATCAATTAACAAAACCACGACTGAATTTACAAAAATAAATCAAAGAAACTATCTATATGCATGCATATGTGAATGTATTTATGATTACATGGATATGTATATATCGCCTCTTATAATATTTTCTACTAATAAAGCTAATCCACTCTTCAATGAAATTGAGCACTTCTTGTGTAAGCCAAGTTTAAAAATGAGAAAACCAAAGAAAAAGCTCTTTCTTCCACTCTGAAACGCTCATTCAGATGGATCCCAGGGTCTGCAAATGATCAAGCAGATAACTTGGCAAAGAGAGGAGTCAATAAGAAAGTATCTATTTCAATTTTTCAACACCATTCAGCAGTACATTTTTAAGTAGATATAACTAATACAAGACAACCTCTCTATCTAAGAATCAAACCTGAGGAATAATAGTTAAAAATGAACATAAACCTACAATTTGTAACTGATAGCACAAAATAGTGTCTTCAAAATTACTACCATAAAGGATCCTACATGTTCCATTTTGGAACCAACCACAAGAGTTGTTAATAGAAGCAATTATTAGCATGATGCTAATTGCTTAGAACACTTACGAAGTCCAACCCCTGGGACTGGGGACACCAGTGAAGACAATAACAAAGTGGGACTGGAAAACTAAAACAATGAAACTACTAATAAGCATGCAAGTATGCATCAATTATTCACTTTTAATGCCTCCCCCCTCGGCCCTTTACCAATCCTGAGAGAAACCATCATCAAGGAATCCAAAATAAAAACATACCGATATAGCACGATAAATATGGTTAAAGCAGATCAGCTCAATCTTACTTTCTAGAATCTTACTAGTGCGACAGGAACTACAGTATAGAAAACAGCAAGATGGGGGAAAGTCGGGTTACCTCAATAATAAGGAGGCATGCTCTGGTACATCCCACCAGGTGGAACTCTGGGTACAGGAGACGTCCCGGATGGTTGGTGATGCTGACCTGGGTATGCAGATGACGTTAAACCGTAGTGCCCGCCCTCAGGATATCCCCCGGAAGGCATCCCAACTGAACTTGGGGGCAACCGATACAAAGACGACCCTCCAGCACTCAATCCACCGTACCCAGCCGAAGCAGGCCCTCCATACTGTGATGTACCATATGGGCCTCCCAACCCGGCACCATAACCACCGCTTCCACCCAATGAGGATGGAACCTGAGTCCCGACCGACGACAATCCTGGTGCACCGATAGAAGACTGCAAAGGCGAGTTGAGATGGTGATGATGGCCTAATGCTGGCGGACCCTGGGGGCCTCCGGAGAATCCCCCATAAGAAGAAAGGCCCGCTGGAGCACCCCCGTACTGAGATGTAAGAGAACCAGGCATGGAAGACGGAGGCGGCATGCCTAGCCCATCTCCAGGAACTTCACCTGGAACCCCAGTTGGAGCCTGAACCCCTTGGGCTCCAACCGGAGCAGGCTGGCCAGGCTTTGCCTTCTTTCCTTCAATCGCCAATTTGCAAACCATCTGATGCCCGTCAATGGTCTTGGTAGGATCAACAAGTGAAGCCTTGGCAGCCTCGGCAGTCTTGTACACAAACAACGCGAACCCCCTTGACTTTCCGGTCTGCTTATCAAACCCTAATGGTCCTTCTTCTATCTCCCCGTACGACGAAAAGTGCGCCAAGAGTCGGTCCGCCGGCATATCAAACGGCACGTTCCCCACATAAATCTTCCGCAACGAGACATCAACGGCAGGTGCGTTAGCGGTAGGCCCGGAGGTCCCAGCAGCAGCGAGCTGGGTGACTGTCATACGACCATCAATCTTCTTACTTGGTTCCTTCAAGGCGAGAAGAGCACCATCGATGTGCTTAAACGTGACGAAACCATAACCTTTACTCTTACCGGTGGCCTTATCGAGGATAACTACGGCCTCTTCTAAATCACCATACGTTGAAAACAGAGTACGCAATCCCTCAGTAGTAGTGTCCCAACCGAGGCCGCGGATGAATAGCTTGCGCTGGGTTAGGTCACGATCTGCGATTGCTCGAACAGCGTCGAGGACATCCAAGTGGCGGACAGCGGCGTCCTGTAGGATGTCGAGGAGCTGCTCCTGCGTGAAAGGCTCGATAATTCTCCGCGCGTCCTCTAGTGTAAGCTTCGAACCTAAAGCGGCATCAGCGGCAACAGTGCCGTTCTCGTCGGCCTTTCGCTTCTTGGCAGAAAGATCCATGGATTCGAGCCTGAGTAGTCACAGAATAAACCCTAGAAAGAAACTACAGAAAAACCCTAGCCTACCCGGAAAGAGAGATAAAGGACGAAGAACCGAGAAGAGGGTTCCTTATGTGAGGTAGCAATCGCCTTTGCGTTGCAGGCTCGTTGATTTATATTGAGATTGAGATTGAGATTGAGATGGGATCGAGATAGGAGTCGTCAGCGATGCGATGAAATTACTTAAATGTACCGTAAGATATCTGATAAATAATATTACGGAGAAGTACAAAAACACACGATGGGGGGTTTGGGTAAATTACAAAGATTCCCCTTTATTATGGGGGGGTAAGTGACAAAGACCTCCTATACTATACCCCCTAAATTTTAGTCATTAGACAAAAACCCCCCTCTGATGATAGTATGTTAGTTACCTATGAAAAAAATTCTCATCTAACTATTTAAAGTGTTGTAAATGCCTAAACTACCCTTTCTAATTTATTTTACCCTTTTTTTTAATTTAATTTAATTTATAAAATCATCCTACTTTTTTAAACACCTACCTAATAACAACTTAGGACTTATGAGGTCATAACATGTCCTGCAACAAACTTTGTTATCACGTTTTTCCTAGGAATATCAATGTCTTCCAAGCTCTGATCATCAGTGATGTTAGTGGTGTCAACGTATCTTTTTTATATTGCTTTGAAAGTAGGATGAATGAATGGAGGAAGCTTGGTAGCTTTTGGTCGATTAACTACAAATACCCATTATTTAATAGTGAAAATTTTATTGCTTATATTTTGATATTTGCTCACACCAATCTTAAATATTCTAATCTCTCCACATAAGACCATACCCACAATGTCACAACTGTCTTTACCTTACTAACTAGACCAGCTCTCTCATTTTGGGTTGCCACTGACTGCATTGTGGGTTTGATATTTGCTCACATCATAGCAGTTGGACCGCCTTTCTAGGTTTATCCACACACTAGGTTTTTTTGCAGGACTGCATTGTGGTATCATCTTTGGGTAAAATGGGTTTATCTGCAAGCTCATTAGAGACTGGGAACACATCCCCATATGTGATCGACTTCTTTTTTGGTGACAATCAAGGTATTTCCTGGGTCTGTGAGGTTTTAAGAGAAAATAGTGAAAATTTAAATGGGAAATTTGGTAATTAATGTTTTTCATGGGTCTTTGTTTAACGACAAAAGTTCAGGGGGTCTTTGTCACTGACCCCATAGATAGTATAGGGAGGGTCTTTGTAATTTACCCTTAAAACTATTTAGATATTCTGTCATTAAAATTAACAGGATGGATTAAAAAGACAAAATAACCTTCACAACTGGAATCTCTCAATAGCCCAATTTCTTAATCATTTGAGGCCCTAAACCCATTGAAAATTGTGATTAGATTATATCTTTGGACGTCAAAGAGAAATCTTAGAAAATGTCAAATGTCACTTCCCTCTTAACCATGGTTTGCCTTCAAAAAGGTGTGTACTCTTTGCTAAAGTCCATTTAGATAAACCTCTTAATGTGGTTGGGGTCATTCAACAAAATCGTAATACATGGCAATGGATGAAGTGAGAGCAATGTTTAAGAATCAAACACAACATAAAAGCAAGGACGGGAGGGGCTTATGGGTTAAATGTTCAACTAGGGGTCAAACCATGATGACATGACATATACATACATACATACATGCATTACAACTTTAAATATACTTAAATATGATGTATTGATGGCAAATTTCTTAATTTTTAAAACAAATGATTATGGTTCAAGTCTCTTAATTTACATTTTCTTTAAAATATATCATAATAAAGTAATATGTAAAATAAAGACTCATTAGTTAACATAAGTTAAGAAATGGACTATGGTAAGTAAATAATATATGAAAATAAGAGGTCATGGGTTTAAATCTTGCTAAGAACATTTTAAAATTTATATTAATTAAGGACCTAGGCAGTTTCATGAATCTAGGACCGATTCATCAGTTTTCTGGTTAAATCGGCTAGTTAATTAATTTTCACTTTTTTTTTAACAAAAGCGAATATTGGGGTATGATCGAATCAACCATGGTCCCAGGTCACGGTTCAACCGGTCCCATCAGCCGATCCAATTTGATTTTCTAAATACTGAGTGAGAGTTTGCAGGGGAGAAAGAGCAAGTGAGATGCTTTATGGGTATCAGTTAAAAGAGAAAAAAGATATAGTAAGTGATTTATGGAATAGTCGTGATCTATTAAGGATTTTCCATTGTTATTGATCGAAGGAACTCCAAGAACTAATGCATGTTTGTTGTAATGGACTATGAAACTAAAGAAATAGTGGAAATCTTAGCAATGAGGGCAAGATAGATTATTCAAATGAAACCAGAAGATGCGGAAAAAAAAAAGGAGGAAAACATAATGGTCTAAGGGGCCAAGGCTTAAGGTTCGGGTGGATGTTAGGAAACCTTTAGAAAAAGGCTTGTGGGATTATCTGGAGGAAGGGAAGAATAGGTGGTTCTCCTTCTAATATGAAAATCTACCCTTTCTATGTCATCATTGTGAAACACATTAAAGAGAATACTCAAATGTTCCAAGGTCAACCAATGGTTCATAAAGAACGGTCATATGATTATGACCCTTAGGTTAAAGCAATGATTGGAAAGGAAGTTGATAGATTATTGAATATGAAAAGTAAAGGTCCTACTATAAAGAAGGATGATCCAAGGCTAAAGATAAAAGGACCGATAAGATCTACTTGAGATGCTAAATATAATGAACTTCTCCTTTCAAATTACAAAGGATCTCTGTAAGAGAAGACATCAATGAGAAGAAGACTCTTTCAAAGAGAAACCACAAGAAAAAATAGACGAGGAGAAGAGAATGGAGGATTCTTAAACAACATAAATGTTATCTTAACGTTATGAACTTTTTTCAACAATGGGGGTTAGATATGAAAGTGAGCAATTGGCTCTAAGGTTAAGGAAAGTGACTCTTCTATTTCAGGCAAGTAAGGAAGTCCTCTTGAAACCAGTCATCTCTACAATTCCCACTTTATTGTACATCTTGCTTCCTAATTCCAAAAAAAAAAAAAACATCTGTGGTGACTTGATGAAGCTTTAGAGGAAATTTTGGTGGAGTGACCAAGAAGACAAAATGGATTGTTTGGGGTCGAATTTGCAAGAATAAACTAAACGGTGGATTAGGTTTTAGGGACCGTTATGCCTTCAATTAGCAAAGTTGACTTGGAGACTGTGTTCAGATTCTTCAAGTCCATGGGCTAAAACTCTAAAAGCAAAGTATTTTCCAAAAGAATTTTCCTCCATGCCAAAATCAATAGTAACCCCTTTTAGGGCTAGAAAAGCATATTGAAATATCGGGAGATTTTCCAAAAAGGCATAATATAATATGGAAAGTTAACAATAGTAACCCGTTCAAAGCTTTTTTGGGCTTTTCTAGACTTTAAAACTTCTCTATGTAGCTATGTCTTGTACAAATAAGTTTCGCTTGAGGCTTAAGCAATATGCACTTGATCTTTACAGGGAGAACTTAGGAGTAGAGCTTAGGTTTCTATTCACATGAGCTCAACTTTTTGACAACCTACTAGCTTTCTGTAGGTCTTACATTTGTAACCTAGGCTTCGGTTTTGGGTTTGCAATTGTTAGACAATAAAAGGGGCCTCACTTAACAATTTAAGCTTTTAACTTTTAAATTAATGATTACTTGAGATGACCAAATGGTATAGTGTTTGTTCCTTATTACCCCTATTATAATTAATTAAATTTTAAAACAAAATATGGGCAGGTCTGTACTTGCCCGAGCAGTGATGATGAAGTCATAAAACTAATTGTATATAAAACTGAAGTAGTATACTTAACCAATCAAAATATAAGGCGGTTGAGAACTTGAATAGTTGGGTTTGCTCTATGGATCAACTTTACTATGACTATAACATTAAGAAGCCATTAAAAATTTCTAACTAATCAGATGAGCGAGCGTATTGTGTGTTGGGTGAAAGGGTAGCCCAAACTCCAAAGTCTCTCTACTATTTCTACGATTTCACTCAACCCATCCTCCCTATTTTTTAAAGTCGGACTTGGGCTAATTAGCTTGGGGCCTGACGAGAAAGATCCATATCCAAAGTTCAACTTTGGAAATTAAAAGCTTTGATTGAAATAAATAAACATAGTTTACAAGTTACAAGTTACAACATAAACAAAACTAAGAAAGTGCAAATATCGCACAGGCATCATAGAATTAGCCTTTCCCTTGATTTACGAGTTAGGACCTTCATATGCCACCGCATATGAAGGAAATAATTTTCCAATTTTCCTATTCTAAATGGAATATTGGAAATTGAGGAAGTGTGACAAGGGTTTTTAATAGGGTAAACTCTTGGAACTTGAGCTAATAACCAAGGCTTTTAGAATAGAAGAATCCCTAGTATCAACACATGCTCTTCTAGTTACCAATTCCATATTCTTATTCAAATTCTGTCTCACCATATTCTCCACCATTCTCTTTCGGGGAACCCATGATGACCCTTCCCGTTTGAGGCCCAAAGTGAGCTCCTATCTTTGTTTGCCTCTCATCTTTGAACCACTGCAATAACTTCAATGCTCTCTTCTAAGCTAAAGGATTCCATAGCAAGGCCACCTCAAGAAGAATAGGAACAATTCCCAGTTGTGCCATCTTCTCTCTTTGCTTTGAGCTTTGATGTGCCAGAATCACTAGGATATATGCAATCAATTCCTGACATTTGGGTTTGTCTTCTCCTACCATAATCTCTATGAAGGTTCCTGGAACCATTGCTTCATTTTCCATTGCTTTCTTTCCCATCAAAGCCACCACCATGTTCCCTAGAGTCGCTAGAGATTTCTTCAAAGTTTCTTTTTCAAAGGTTAAGGCCAACAATGCGTGTATGACACCACCGGAAACCAAAGGTATTCTGTCCAACATGGTGGAGAGGATATGGATAGTCCCCAAACAAGCATTCTTGACTTCCATGCTTGCATTTTAATCAAGGACCCTGGCTAAGAAGGGGAGGATCTCTAATGAAGCAATATGGAATTGGGTGTTGGTCAAAGAAGAGATGGACAACACCAGTACAGAGAAATAACCCAATCCATGGATTAAACCCCTAAACCAACCTGATGAAGGGTGATTTGGCCCGACCTAGTAAAGAGGGGAC